TTTTGAACCAGGTTGTAGTGGGCAGTTTTCTGGCAGGGAACCAGCATGAGCAGAAGCCTAAGAAACAGAAGCACGAGCCCATATCAGCAGCCACACCAGTGGCTGCTATTCCCGTTTCTAGTGCTGATCCCAAATCAAACCTCTCAACCTCATCCTTCCGCGGTGATAGCTGGTCTTCATTGCCATCAGATTCAAGGAATAAGCCCACTGACATTAATGTATCTTTGCCTGCAGGCTAATCTAAATTACCTACCTTATTATCCAGTATAAGGTTTGATACTGACAGCACTGGCAATCGAAGTACAATTGATGAATCTCTTTCTCACCTCTTGTTGTTGTTTTATGTGTAAGCTTATTGACTTCTCACCAGTACCAGCACGTTCATTTTCACCTTGGGTTTTGCCCTATTTATTTTCACCAGTAGTTTAGTTAGTCAGCTGATTATGATTAGATAGGCTTCTGCCGCTGTTGTGTCATGTAGAATATTTTGAATGTAATGTTTACTGAGAGAGTTGGCCTTGCTTCCAAGTGATGGATTGTGATTTAGTAGACCACTGTCTTTTGAACATCTCGGCTTCATTGCTAATGGCTTGTTTATGTAGCTTCAGGCTCGGCTATACGGTGTTGTAACTTTCAATTCTATTTATTATTGTTCGAATCCCTTGGACTTCTAATCCCTATTTCAGACCCGGTCAAGTGACTCAAGTCCAAATGCATTTGCCTGTTTTCGTACATGCATGACAGTTACAAGTCTTTATCATCAAACATTTGCACAAGTGTGTGATTGGCTCAAGTCATCAAACAGTTTTACTCAATCGCTTTGAAAGCAGTTAATATGTAGAAAAACCTCCCCATGTAACTTACCTTTCACTTCAAAGTCTTCTGACATGTTGACAGAAAATAGTTAAGCAATATCCTTTTCATTCAGTTTATTACTTTGTTTGGTCAATTGGTTAAAAAAAGAAGTGGGAAAAGTAATTGGCAAGCTGAGCAGCATCTGAATACTCTACCGCTAAACAACTCAGAAAGAAATTTGAAGTTTCAACCCAAATTATACATTGAAAGAAATAAATCACCTTAATACATATCTCTATATGTAGAAAGAAATCTCTCTTACCAACATCACAAGGTTCATTACATAAATATAATAATTCTCCATTGCTCACCCTATAATTGAGCAAGCTTATGTCCAGATCATTGCAGTAAACCTGCTTGTATATAAACCCATTCTACATGAAAGAAATGAGAGGGAAAGTTTTCAATTTCAAACTAACAACTTCAAAAGTTCCTGCATTGCTTCTGATGCTTGTATGTTAAACCGATTTAATGCTGGTTTGTTACATTTCATCGTATTACAGCTCCAGGCCTTTCTCCAATTGGTTCATTAGTCGAGGATGCTAGAGGGAAACTGATGGCTTTCCAGTAAAAAGAGATGGAAATAGAGCTGGTCATAATTTAGCTCATGGGTTGCATATTCTGGAAGATACTTACTGGCTGGAAGAATGTCCTGATGTAGTTGTGTCCTTTGTTGCTGCTGATTGTAGTACCGGTTATCTTGAATGAAATTATTTTCTTTGAAAAAATGAAAATGAAAAAGAAAAGGAAAAAACCCACATTATATCAACGTTTCTTTCAGCAAAGCCTTATCCTCGTGAAGCTACTTGGGATCGTTTCAATCTTACTGTTTGTTTCATTCCTAGCAACCATTTTAAATCTTCTCTTATTCTACTTGGTCACATTTTATATCTGAAATTCACTGCTACTTTCACGATTTGTTGCATCAGTTTACAGTCAAATCCGGGTTGATGTTCATTGCCTTTCAAATGATCATAGCCACTATCCTAGTGTCTAGTCTGTCTCATGATAAAAGTATCAGCTGGTTACATAACTAATGAGGAGAAAGAAGAGAGCAGGAATGGAAATGTTGACGATGCTGAAGAGTTTTCAATGCAGGAAATGAAACAAGAGGTAGTAGAAGAAACTATATGAAATTAAGGAGAATGATGCTTTTAAGAAAGATGATGAAGAGAAAAGAAATAAGCTGAGAATAATGGTGTGTCAGGCAACAATGTGAATGGTCATGGTTTTGATAAAAATCCTTCAGGGCATGAAATGAAGCAGAAGGTCGAACAAGTGAAAATATGTGGCATTCGTGATCCTCTGGCTGTGAAGAAGATGCTGAAGACAACGGTGGAAACGTGGACAATGAAGATGTCAAAATTTTGGAGAGGAGGATCGAGGAGCTTATTGCCAGGAGTAACGATAGATGGAAGCAAGAGTTGCTAGAGGAGAAGTTGAACCTCTTGCCCACTGTGAATGACAGTTCAATATTATCTTAGAAATCGAGTGAGTGAAGCTCAACAAAGAAAAGTGATGCCTACAATTTCAAGGCTGAAGGATGCCAATAATATCATTAAAATGCAAAGGCTTCACACCATCCGAAAGCTGTTAGAGAACATTGCAAACCAAGGCCAAGATGGATCAAAATGAGAGGTCATCCAATTAGCTGAACCGTTTTCTTGTGAGCATTTGTCATTTAATATTTCTCAGGATTGAATTAAGGAAAGCAACTCATTGCATCTAAACACCTCTAAGGATTCACCAAAATTGAAAATATATATGTGACATAATAATTATGTGGTTATAGGATAAACATTGATTATATACAAACAAGTATGTTATTAATGAGATTGAATAAGAAATTTAATTAAATTTTAAATCTTTTGATAAATAATTTTATAAGGTTGAGTGATATGTATTATCTGTAAAATTCTTTGGAATGTACAAATTCATAATACAATTGAATTGTCTGTCGATTTGCAACTGACCCACATAATAACAGTGGAATGTTTTTTTTTTTTTAAATCACAAATTCACTAATGGACTTACATTTTGATATGACCAAATTAATATCAATTTCTCAAAGCTAGTCAATCACATAACTTCCTTGATAAACTATTAATCATTCGAGTTGGATATTCTTTTTACAGATTTGATCACGATACTGACCGGTTCAACAACTTGTTCCTAGATTGGACTAAAGCAAACTGAGCATGTTCACTACCCCCAATTGGTGAATATAGAAAAACCAGGAATGTTGCAGTCAAAAATTCATAAGCTGACGAGCCTCTGAGAGGTGTGACGCATGCAGCAGCCTCGTGAGTGGACATCGAATAATAAATACTACTAACTAAATCCAACTTACACCCAAAAGTCAGCCGCTGTCGACATCGAAAATTCGCCATGATTTGGACAAAGGCACTAGTTTATCAGATGCCGAGTACCATGATCAAGCAATTCGTAATTTTGATGCTAGCTGAAAGCTATGAATATACTATTTAAGGAATAACTAAAACATTCTGCGACCCTTTCTCCGTCTAGTTCTGTGACCAGCAGCCCCGTCAATGGCTGAGACTTTGTTTTTTTGGAAAAGCAGGAATATTATTACTTATAGTTTCTCACAAAGGAAAAAACAAAAAGTAAACTCCCAGTAGAACTTGCAGAGAAACATGAAAGTCCTCATGATTGAAGATAGGCTTGACATCAACAGTGAGAGACCTGGTGGCTCAGACTTTTTAGGTTGATTAGCCTTAGAAAATAAAAAAATTCCATTTCCCTGTTAACTTCAAATCATCCAGGGATCCTCTATTATTTAAACTAAATAACTCACAGTGATTTGATATAAATTTGGTACGCGTAAAGCTTTGTTTGACTTGTATGCCAAGTTTGATACGAGGAAGTAGGTAAGCCATTCTTCCTGTATTCTTTTTTATTTTTTATTTTTTTGTTTGGTTGGTTTTTGAGGTGAGGAATAGTCATTCTAAGTAATAGCTATTCTCTAAAATTTTGGTTTTCCCATTACCCATCTCTCCACGCTAATGGCCGGCTATTCCATAATCATGAAATAGAGTCAAAAATTTATTGGACAAAAATGTCTCCATTTATTAAAAATAATTACAATTTATAAATAAAAAATAAAAAGAAATTAAAATAAAAATTGTATTAATTATATAATAATAAAATATTAATGTTTAAATTTTTAATGAAAATAGAAATTAAAAGATTGAAAATTGAAAATACAAATAGAGAAAAAATAAAAAGAAATTGAAATAAAAAATCATATTAATAATTTAATAATAAATTATTAATATTTTAAATTTTAATGAAAATAAAATTAAAAGAGTAAAAAAGAAAAAATATTATTAAATTATAATAATGAGTAATTTTATCTAATTTATAAATTATAATCAAGAGTAATTTTGTAATTTTATCATTTATTTTTTAACTATTTCAAAATTATTCTTACTAATCAAACATTAAAATGAATTATAATAATTATTCTTATTCTATTTCATTTTATGAATCAAGCCATTTAATAATTATTTTATTTTTTATTTTTATAAAATAATTATTATATTTTATTTCATTCCACAAACTAATCGAATTGGTAGTTCTTTAAAACAAATATATCCCATCTCTTTTAGAAACCTTTGGAGAGTAACCAAACACTGGCTTTGGGATTTTGGTTGCCGCAGCGTCCAGTCAGGTCCAAGAGTGGGAACTAGCTAAAGCTGGTTTGGGATCCTAGACTCGGATAAGGTCCAAAAATTCGTTCGTGTACACTACGAAGATCGAACCTGAACAATTTAAACTAGCCTCGCAAGAAACCAAACCTAGATAGTGTGTTAAAACAAGACATTGGTTTAACTAAAATTCGGGGTTACCAGGTAACCACGTCTATAGCCTACTGATGCCTGGCGAGGTTTCAGAATGTGTTTTTTCACCAGGTAGTAGTCTTAACAGATTAAATACAAGAAAACTTGCCGAGTAACTTCAGGATTATCTTATCTTATGCTTGAAAGTCGTCATTGCTTGAGAAGAAGAGATTGCTCCATTTCTTTCTGACTCATTAAAACATAATATTTTAATAAAATACTGCGTTATGTTTTCTGGGAAATCACCTCATCCTTTTGAAACCAACTCAAAAGTTGTATAAAATGCAACCCTCCTAACAAAGGGAGAATCAAGAAAGAATCGAGTATCTGTCTCTATACACCTGGATGAAGCTCGTCTACTCGCCGATACCAGCCCGCATAATTCTGTGTGTAGCTGCCCTTCTAGTCCTGAAATCTTTGTCAACCTCAATTTCTGAACGCTGCAATCCTGAATTCTCATACGATCCTCTTTTCCTATTCATATTGTTTAACGCCATAACCGTTGCTGTCATTGTTGGGATCAATAAGCCATCTATAGATGAAATTGATGGATTCTTCCCACATTCGTGCTCGTTATATGAAGGACCTTTTATTAATAGTACAGAAAAGTATAGTGATGTTGATGACTTTGAAGATGATACTCCTAGTTCCGATGGTTACCACGCAGATGAGGATGATGACGATGGTCATCACGAAGATGAGGATGAGGATGACAGTTGCAATGATGAAGAAGAATCTGATGATTTGCAGAAAAGAATTGAAGATTTCATCGCAAAGGTCATCAATGGATGGAGGGAGGAGAAATTAAGGGAGAGCTTGTGAACAGCTATGGATTGGGTAACTAAACGAACCACCAGACTGTTTTCATTCTAGAGGGTTATTTTTTTTGTCAACTTTATTTTTGTTTTTAATCTTTGCTCTAATGATATGGCCACTATTAGGGACCATCAGAAATGTGTAGATAATATAAAAAGAAATGTGTCCATATGTATCCGTGACAGAGTTTTCGTATAACAGCTTGTATGGACAAAGTTTTTAACTCTTTCAGAAAACTTCATCAGGAACTTTAACTTCAAAGCATTCACATACAAGACTTTTTATGAAAAAACTGTAAATTGAATGCCTTATCGTAAAAGTGTGCATATAAACTTAAGAAACTTACAAAAATGTGTTACAGCTATCAGCCCATTTTGATGGGGAAATAATAAAGAAACTAACCAAGGCCTGTTCCTGCATCCTTACGAGGTGCATCTGCCTTGATACGGGGAGGTCTCACAACACGATCAATGAGCCCATATTCAAGAGCTTCTTGAGCATTGAAGCGTTTCATCCTACTTAAGTCCTTGTTAATCTGCATGTGCACATTCCATATTAATTCTGTTTCTATACATGAAAAGATGAACATATCAACAACCAAGGAAAAAGAAAAACAATGAACTTTCTGCAGTGAGAGAAAACAAAAATTCACAAGGGAGATTTCATGTGAATGTTTTTGTTTAGCCACTGCTCACTAGCTGTTTAGATCTGAAGTGCGAAAGGGAAAGCTGGCCTACAGCCAACAATACTCAAATGAATCAAACAGAATTACAGAGAGATTGTCGTAATTCACTCTTGAGCTTGAACTATTAACATACTCACCTTCTCAACAGGCTGGCCTGTATTCTTAGCTAGCTCACTGAAAAGGTAATCTCTGATTCTAAGAAGCTCATTTGCTTCATTACGGATATCATCAGCCTGTCAACATTTGATAATTTCATAATCATCAAAAATTTTATAACACTGAAAAGTATAATATAGTTCACCATGACAGCATGCAGTCATACCTGACCACGAGCTGCACCAGCTGGAGACTGCAGAGCAATTCTTGAAAGAGGCATTGCAAAGCGATTACCCTTCATGTAGCCGAAAACAAGAAGAGAATGTTTTCAGATTTCAGCTTTAAAAAACAAATGCATTGCATAAGGCATAAACGAAAAATTCACAATCTAGTGGTAGGCAACAAAACAGTAATGATGCTCCGAACATGGGTTACAAAAGCATCCCAATCAGGTCAGGGGCGATAGCAGTTTTTTGGTTGCTAGCATTACATTCAGACCAGCATAAAAGAAAATTTTAAGAATCGATACATAAAATTCTTAAATAGGGATAACTTCATGCATCATGCCACAAGAATTTATAGCCTTCACTTGCAGTAATAACACCACAAAGTTTATAGATTTAGATGGAAGACGAGAAACATTACTTTTTCTCCAGCTGCAAGAAGGAAGCCTGCTAGATTGTAGGCATAGCCTACACAGTGGGTGCCAACAGGACTCTTCAAGCTCTGCATGGTGTCATAGATGGCCAAGCTTGGAGTAAGCTGTAAACAGAGCCAGTCCATATCAGAATAGTGACCAAAAGATAAGAAACTAGAAATAGAAATATATTCATCAGCAAAGCTTTAAATTTACCAAAAAAAAAAAAAACCCTTACATCTCCACCAGGACCATTAATGTAAAAATAAAGCCTTTTATTGTCATCAATACTGTCAAGGTATAACATTGTTGCCAATATTTGGTTGCTAAATTCCTCATCTATATGTTGTCCGATGAAGATAACGCGCTCTCGGTACTGCATCCAAAGTATGTCATTAGCCTCTAGAAGGCACATAATAGAATTTAAAGCTGGTGTGAAATTACAAGAAAACAAAAGATGCATGCAATAATCAAAATCTAGGAAAGGTCCCAAGGGGATATCCATAACAAATTATCAAGCCACTTTTAAAAACTAAAAGCAATTAATATAAAAGCAGGACAGTAAAAGAAGATTCATAAGAGTAGAAAGAGTGTAACACTTGAACCATCTCCTATGTGGTGATACACGAAACATGAACCCAAACAGTATGATGTAAAATTAGTTAAGATTACTCACTAGGGCATTCCATAAATCAACCCATTGCCAAGTTCCTTCACCAGGGACTCTATAGGGAACTCGTGGAGTTCCTATAGGCATCATACCTACTCGTGACCTTGTTGGTTTACAATTTCGTGTTCTGCAGACAAAGAAATGCACAATGATCAAGAGGTTTAAAGAACTAATTGAAAACTTGAATTCAAAGTTGTGTATTATTCTCTTGAGACTACATCAGATTAAACCTTTCCATCTCCGTGAAAAAAAACCAATAACAACAACAAACATGGCAGAAATCACAATCAGAAAGGCATAACAGATACACAATACTCACCAAACATGCTAAACTTCAAGGATGCTCAAGGGTGCAAGCTTTGAATAAAACTCATCAAACATAATAATTAAAAGATGCCCTTTTCCCTTTCCTTGGAACCAAAAATAAAATTTAAGATGATACATACAATTTTCACTTGCAAGGTGAACACTCTAAAATTTAAAATTCCAATTTATACTGCAAAGTGGCTCTAAACAGGCCCATAATCAATCTAAATAGGAACAACTCCAAATCTCCAATGAGAAGCCAATTTTTGGAACTACCCTTCAAAACCATTAAGCAAGATTAAGCTAATAGGAACCGATAAATAATAATTCAAACTACAGACTAAGACTATAAACATATAATTACCCGCATTGGAGGCTTTTATTAACTCTGCTATAGAAGTCTGCACTCAAGTTCGGTCTCCCAGTTGCAAACAAACCTTTGAAAAAATGAAAATTGAGAGAGAAAAAAATAGGGGTCACAAATTTAGAGTAGATAAAAGAAAAAAAAGTAGTGGGATTACACTATAGAGTGCAGAACACGAACATACATGGAGATTGAAGCTTCAACCCAGAGTAAAGCTTAGTCCCACAACTGCAAAACAAGGAAGGAAGAAAAGACAAAACACCCATGTCATATACGTATAAAAATACACCATACATATTATACAGAGATAGAGAGCGAACCTGAGAGAAGGCTGATGAAGATTTGTATTAAGTGAGATTGCCATTGTTTTTTGGGGTTCGAAGTATACGAAGAAAATTAATTAGGCAGAAGAAGAAGATTGAGAGAGGGTTGGGTGGCTTAGCAAGAATCCGATGCAGCCGTTACTATCTAGATATGTTGGATTAGATTTAGGGATTTGGGACCAGCAGATAGCTGCCTTTGTAAACGGACGGAGATTCGTATCTCTCGTTCGAGTTTGCTTTCGTTTTAAGATAAACAAAAGGGCAAGAGCACTCGAACTCGAACTCGAACTCGAACTCCGTTCAGTTGTGTCTTTGGTTTTTTATAATTATTTTCTAGAATGCTAAGAATTTTAATTGCGTTAAACCAACCAGTTTCGGTACCTCTTTCCTCTTTCTTTTTAATTATTTGAAATATTAGAAATTTTACTTAATCCTTTGCCTTAATTAATACTATAAATTAAACCTTTTTGGTACATATTTATAGTTGCAATTCCTCTGGTTGATAATCATCTTAATATTCATAAAAAAAAAAATCCATCTTAATCATAATAATAATATTGGATAAAGCCAAGAAAGGATCTTGGAATAGCCAAACTATACTCAAAAGGAAAACCCAAATCCAACTATAGACCTGAATTACTATATCAGGATATGATATGAAAACGTATATGGGAAGTGAGCAAATACTCATAGTAATACATAGATTTTTCTTTTGGTTTCATATCTTAACTCCATTAAAGAAGAAATGTATAACAGGAAAATGAAGGGATATTAAGTTGGTTTTTCGTAGGAATTCTGGTCTCTGAACTCAGATATGGCACTTCGTATCATCTCGGCAACATGAGGTTGCACGAAGAAGTGAGTGTTATCCAGGACATGTATAATAAACTTCTGTGATGCTGGCATTGAAGCATTCAAATTGACGATGAATTGTGCCATGGGAATGTCACTGCAAGAATTAAGGAACAGAATCCTCTTCAGCTACAATGAGGAAGTCAGGGAGAAAGAAGGGAAAACTACATGAAAGACATGAAGAGCAATAAACAAATGGACTTATCTATGCAACTACTTTAACCATTTAAACTGACAGGCCATTAATTTCTTTCAGTTATTGCATCAATGACTTAATAAGTGTCAATTGCTATACAAATAATATAATCACCAGACTATGAACTTTACACAGGATAGTCTCCGATAGATCCTCCAATTCACTTATAGGATTTCTAGCACTGAAACAAGGCCTTAGAAACAGCACAGTCCTCGTAGTTCTGTTGATGTATCTTAGAGCTTCAAAATGAAGCAGATGTTGCAATTTAAAAATGGACCGCCCATGCCAAAACTAACTACATGTAGACAGCAAAGTTGAGGACAGACACGAGACAAGAATCAAACATTGATCCTTAAAATATAGTATAGTACTAATATCTTACCAGGAAATGAACAGTCCTTTAGTTGCATTGACCATGATGAATCCGCAACCCTAAAATCTGAACTGCTACACAGACCACACTACAGAATAAGAGCAAAGCATAGTTATATCACCCGCTATCCATGGCTTGCACATTAATTTAAAATAAAAAAGTTAAAAGGACAAGCATCTACTCTGATGCATCACGCACGTAAGAATTTCATTTCAGAATTATTGGAACTAAAAGTCAAGTTCATTCTCTAATTAAATAAAACCAACAAGAAGAAACTTCACATTGAGCTGCACCTCAAAAATGAAAAAGAATGAAGAAGAAAAAATACGGTGAAATGGACGTATTCTATATCTCCCTAGGCATTTGGGGAACAAGAAGAACCTACATCTCCTGTTTGAGATAAACCACTCCTTCATGAGAGCAAAACACACAAACATAAAATTTTAAAACAACGTTGAAGGATGTGATTCTGGGGTACATAAGAAAAGGAATTCAAATTCAGCATTGCCCTTGTACCCAAATTATGCAGCACTCCGTGCATTTTATTGAAGGAAGAGCTGGACATGCAATATCAACTCACCACTCCCAAACCATATTCCGAGTTTGATAGCCTCTATGTTAGCAGTATTTGCCTGTTCCTGTCAGTGGTGGAAGAATCAGGTCGATTCTGTCCAACTACAACCAGGTATCTTGGCCAGCTTCTTCCTTTCCGTATTCTTTCTCAATCTTCTGGCATCGCGCCACCTTCCAACAGAGGCATAAACATTGGCAAGGAGAGAATAATAACCAGCTGTACCGGGCTCCAACTCAAAGCAATGCTGAGCTGCAATCTCTCCAAACTCAACATTGTTATGTAAGCTACAGGCAAGAAGCAAAGCTCCCCAAACTCCAGTATGAGGCTTCATCGGCATGCTCTTTATAACTTCATATGCATCTTCCAATCTCCCTGCCCTGCCCAAAAGATCAACCATGATTGCATAATGATCAGTTGAAGGCACAAGTCCATTGTCCTTCATAGAACTAAAGCATCGGTAGCCCTCTTCAACCAGGCCAGCATGATTATACGCAGTTAATAGCCCAGTGAAGGTAGCCAAATTTGGTTGAATTTGAGCATCCACCATTTTTTGGAATAACATGATGGCATCAACAGCCTTACCATTGATGGCACATCCCGATATCATTGCACTGTAAGCAACGACATCCTTCTTTCTCAGACCATGAAAGAGGTTATATGCTTTATCAATACTCCCACACTTTGCATACAAATCGATTAAAGCTGTAGCCATATGATCATCCACTTGGATTCCAAACTTACTTATGTATGACTCAACCCATGAACCAAATCTCAATTCTCCTAGCTGTGAACAAGCAGATATCACACTTGCCAACGTTATCCCATCTGGCTGGATACAAGCACCAGCTTTAAGCATCTCATCAAACAACTTTAGGGCTTCTGTTGGTTGGCTGTTTTGAGCATAGCAAGATATCATGGCATTAAAGGCTAAATGATCTTTCTCACCCATTTTATCAAAGAGCTCACGAGCAGACTTGACTTCCCCGCGTTTAGAATACCCAGCAATCATTGTAATCCAAGAAACATTATTTCTTTGATGCATCATGTCAAAAAAGCTCCGAGCTGATTCTATTTCTCCACATTCCACAAAACCACTAATCATCGTATTCCAAGAAGCCAAGTTTTTCTCTGGCATCTGCTGAAAAAATGAAAGTGTCTGATCCATATTTCCCATTTTTGCATACCCTGATAGAATTGCATTCCAAGATATAACATCTTTCTTTGGAATATCATCAAACACCCTGCGAGCCTCTCCTAAATTCCCAGCTTTCAAATACCCAGATAAAATCGAATTCCATGAGACCACATTTTTCTCAGGCATCTCATCAAAAACCTTTTTTGCAGTATCCATATCACCCAGTTTCGTGTACAAATCCACAAGAGCTGTTTGCACAAAAACACAGTTGCAAAGCCCATATCTATGAACCTGAGCATGGATTGAAATTCCTCCCGTTTTACATTCAGCCCTAGCACATGCTCTTAAAGCAGATGATATGGCATGTGTGGTAGGGTACAATCCAAGCTTCTGCATTTTAACATAAAGAGAAAAAGCTTCTTCAAACTGCCTGTGCTGGGATAAAAACCGTACGGCGCAACCCCATGAAAAAGCATCTGGCTTTTGCAAATGGTAAAGGATTTGCCGCACGTATAGGAAAACACTTGAAGAGTAGTTGTTAGTTGACAGAAGGAACTGATGAACCAATAGGGGCTGGAGGTGGTTAAGACTGCTAATAAGGATTTGAGCATGAATTTGTTTTGCCCGTTTGATTGTCAGCTGGTTATTTAAGAAGCTCTTTAGCCTAGGAACCAACATCAAATACACAAGCCTGATTAAAACTGGCACAATTTAAACCATTTGGGTTTGCAATCTTAAGTTTCTAACCAATCAAAAGATCCTAAATATGCTTGACCTATCGGGTGGCTGTCCTTATCAAACCAAAAATACTGAATACCAAAAGTGTTTAACACTTTCACAGTTTCATTTCATCTAAACTCTGTTGCAGTGATAATTCAGCAGATTGTTCGATCAATTCTCGAGATAATCCTAATAAAAGATTAAACTTCACAATCAATGCAAAAGAAAAAATCTTCCTTTCATACTTTAGAAAGTGATGAAAACCCCTCTCTAATAGCCAAAAAAATCCCCAGAGTAAAAAACAGTAAAAAACCAAAGCACTTTAATTTGTAATAAATAGAAACCCTATTTTCACACATGGAATGCTTTTCGACCAAAAAACGTTGGGTTCTAAAATTCGAGTTATGTAACAAAGACATACCTGAGAAAACAGAATGGCAAGACAGTTTGAAGCAGAAGCTTGCGAACTTTGCTGCGCATTAAAACTGGTTGAAAACCTTAAATAGGAGGCCTCTGACGGGTTTTCCGTGTCGGGTCGGACAGGGTCGTGTTAACTTGTTTGTTTCACCTCGTATACAGTGAAATACAAATGATGTCAAACTAAGTTTTTGTCAGTGGTAAATAATTGGTAGCAATGTATTTTACTTCAGAAATGAAACATATTTCATGGTCTGATTGAAGGTTATTAGATTTTTGTTGTTCCTTTTAAACGTAAAGTTGGGGTTTAGTAAGCAAATTAAGAAGGATACATCTCCATCTGTTGTCGATTTGCCATTTTCTTGGATGATCAATCCATGTATTAAGTGTTTCCAGTTCAGTTCTCAGTAGGAAGAAAGTAAAGGCAAAAAGCAGCTAATTTCATTTGAAAAAACAAAAAAAAAGAAGGAAGAAGCAGAGTTTATTCTTGTGAAATTAGGAATTGAAAAGGCTCATAGCTTGAGAAATCCAAGCACGAGGCAAACTGAATGCCTCAATAACAAATACCAGATGCCTGAAAAATATATTTCACTAAAAATCAACTGAAATTCTCACAATCATACAACCTTGAAATTTATGCTATAATATATCAGTTACAACAGACACAAAGCTGAAAAAAGATTGAAAAAGAGCGGTGTGAATGGCCGATGCACGCTAGCAGTTTAGAGCAACAAATCCTTCAAGTTCAAAAGGCCATTGTCTCCCATTACTCTTCTACATCTTCTAATGCGGACCAGATCATCCTAACAAATACGGATAAAAGACCCCATGTTAGCAGTTACAAAAACTAAAAGCAATATGTTTAGAGGAAGCAACTTGTGTGTTGTCAGAAAAAAATTACCAGAATATGGCGAAGAAGAGGAGAACAACGAGGTAGGCGAGTTTAAATAGGCGTTGCTTCTTCTCCCAATGGAGCAAGTTAAATATCTCCGTGACATCCACCAGGTGCTGTTTCCGTGTGTAACTGGTAACAAGAGAAACTTTAGAACAAAGCCCAAAGCATATACAATTGGAAAAACGCTAGACAAATTATAAACCTTGATAGCAGTATAATATTTCTTTATCCCAAGGAGTAAATTTTAATGCTCTAAGAGTCTCTATGCCCTGATCCATGATCAAATATGATAAAAGTAAAACTTCATTTAGAACAAAAAAATAACTACAATTATGCAAGACTCTTGCATGCAATCTTCAATAACAACAGAGGAAAGAAACCTAATTTAAACCGTAATGCAATTCTCAAATCCATCTAACTTGGCAGAAGAGATAGATAATATTGTCTGAACTTCCAACAAATGATGTTACTACATTAAACTGAAAGTCATTACGATGCGCTCCTCCCCTCTCTTTTATTCTTCTCTCTCTCATGAAGATCATTAAAACATTCTATTGTTTCCATTTATTAATATAACATTGTCTATATATATTACATTCATAAGATAAATCACAATTTCCTTAACAATTAGTGCTATAGCATGAGTCTCTAACCTAAGAAAGGTTAAAAGATAGCCGAAATCAAAGGCAAATAATAAGCTATTTGTCAATACCCAGGTTCAGTACAAGGAGGTTAGGGATTCTGGCAAGTCTAGGGCTTTAGGAACACAACAAAATTTCCATTGTCATAAAGTTCCAATGCTACCTATATTAACTATCCATTGATGCATGACTTTGCACAAGTTAGAAGTTATAAATCTTAAGAGCCACAAGGCCCACCACTCACCACTCACATTATCAATCAAGCTCTTGGAACAAAATAAAATCAATCAACCACACAAAGGCTCATTCCTACTGGACATCGGGTTGCAAACTCAATATAAAAGGGAGCTGCAGTGAAGAAATTGGAAATCAACTGTGAATCCAAGCTAGTGAAATCAATGATCTGACATTTTCCTCAAAACAGCCTAAACTAAAAATTAAAAAGTACATAAAGAAGATGAGAGAACAACTTACAGTCTCACATTGTAGTATAAATATGGAGCACATAAGAGTGACATGACCCAATGCCCCGTTAACAGATAGAATAAGCATAAAAATCCTTGCAGGACATATTCCGGCAAGACCACTTTGTTTATCCTTGATGAAGAGTCATAAGGATTGATGTAATCAAACTCTAGATCAGCCAGGCACATGAGCTGCAGCAAAATTATCAAGCTGTTAAATTCTATTTTTCGTTGTCATATAACCTGGACATTCTACTGATGAACAATAACATGACTAAAGATCTACGCACCACCATAACTATCTTTTGCCAAACTTCTATTTGTGTTTAAATCCAGAACAAAGCCCCAAATACATTGAAACTAGTATTTCAAATCAAAGGCAGTGAGATGACAATTTCAGGACTTAAAACACCAGATTCTACTTTGACAATTCATAAAAAGATCACTCCCGCAACAATTATACAACTAAATGCAACATACCCAGCTTGCTGCAATCTGAAAATACTAGTAATTCTTTATCTCTTTTTCTGAACACAAAGACAAATTCTTTAGCATTTGTTGAGTGATTTTCTTGCAACTAAAATGAAGAATCAACTAAACAATCATTGCCCACCAAACCATGCCAATAGCAAAGCATCTTAAACTTATAATTTTAACCAAAAGAAGGGATTTAAACAAAAATACAAGCAGACCCAGAAAAGAAAAAACAGAGGAAAACAAAGATTCTAGGGTTTAAGAGGGGAATTTGACCTGATAAACAAGGATAACGAGAAGGGCAATGAGGATAAAGAAAGAAATAAGCCATATAAAGAGATCTCCCATGCCTCTCTTTCTCTGCCCGTCTTCCTATCTCTTCTCTTTTTCCTCTTCCCTCCCCTGGATTAATTTTTGTTTTGATGATAAGAGGAGGAAGGCGCACTTGACAGCAGAGGCGAGACGGGATTTGGCTGTGCCAGGTGAGAAATGCGCCCTGTTTCGGATAGTGCTAGGAAGAGAAGATGAGGAAGATTTGGCACTGGGAATTTCCTAAACGCCAGAAAGATCCGACCGAAAGTAGCAAAGCAAAAGTACTGTTTTGAGTTAAAGACTTCAAAGACTTCCAGTTGTTTAAACTTTCTTACGACTTTTTACTGTTTTACAAATAAAGACAAGTACCGCACTCCTACCAGAACACAACTTCTTGGGAAAAATAAAATTTTATGACTATTTAAATTAAATAAAAAATTTCTTTTTTTTATTGTATTATTATTACCAGAGTCATCAAAAGAACCAAAACAAAAAAAATAACTATAGAGGCTAATGGCACATTCTTTCATTGATAAAAAGAAAGATATACCTATTTCTTGGCATTCACTTCATGCAGGTACCACACTTTTTATCAAAGCAAGAAAGGTATTCCTCATACAAAAGAAATTTATGGTTGTTCTTTCTGTCTATGGGGAAAGAGAAAGATGTTGCAGTGCCATTTTTTTGTAACTTTTTCTTTCTAAATTTGGCTGACATAGGGTACTCTCCTGCAAAAGGAAAATTAAACAAAGCACATGCCTTATTCAAATGTTACCCACTGATGATTTATGGTTACCCACAAAACCTATACAATATAATAAATAAATATCTATTGTTAAAAGTTAAGTGTATTTTTTCTGGACATATGTGCAAAGGGAAAATGATATTCCAAGCCTTAGTAAATATGAGAAAGAAAGGAACATTAACTATTCATGGTAAAAATGACAAATGTCACGATTCTATACATTGGAAAAAGTGGAAAGAGCTAGAGCAAGAACTCCATAAACTTTGTCAAAGGACTCATGGCCTGAGATGCTATCTTTGCCTCCTCGGAGCCGCAGGATGTGACAGAGGAAGAAGGCTTCAAGTACAAGAAGAAATTCCTGGACCCCAAATTTATCAGCTTCTCCTCTGGCTCTAAGCCTGCACGTACCACAAAAATTAGTACAAATAATGACTACTACAAAAAGCAAATACAAAGTCGCAGCAAGAATGATTTGTTTGTAAGAATAATATAATTTTGTTGATTAAACTTAACTATCCTTTTTTCTATAATTAGAAAGCTAAAATGTAGATGCTGACCAATATTTTCCCAGTTTCTTAACATACTGATTGCTTATTCTTTGCATGTAAAGACTATCAAACTATGACATGATTATGAAGCTTGTAGGGCAGAGAAAGGAGAAAATTTTATAGATTCACAAAAACCTTAAGAAATCAGAGAAAAAGAACGAAAGGAACTTACTTTCCAGGTTGAACTGCGAATAGTGAAGCTGGAAAAACTTAGGATTGGTTTCCTCCAGCAATGGCCGTCTCTTCTCTTTCACGTAAATTTCTACAGCAGCTTTGATCAAATCATTCACTGTATTCTCCGCTGGCATCACCACATGCACTGGCCCCAAGCTTCTGTCTATATTCACCTTCAGCAACAACTTTGATGGCCTTCGCTGAGATCCCTCATCCACGGGAAACCTCGCCGATGGCGACGTTGTCAGCCTTGTGGTTGAGGGGACTGCATTAAGGCCTCCTCGCCAGTTAACGAGGCATGAATGATGCTCCGGAACGGATGGCTGTATTGATCTTTCGGAGGCTGAGAGAACCCTGATTGAGCTAAGTCTCCGGTTACCTGAAGAAGGAGGAACCATGGTGATCGCAAACGAGGGAATGTGACTTTGGCTCTTATGATTGTTCTGAAAGGTTTTGGTTTTTGTAGCATAAAGCAGAGGAAGGACGAAAGTTCCCGGAAATTGTTCAGTTCTGGGACTGTCCCTAGAGTTCAAGCTAATTTGAACTCGCCCTGTTTGAAAAATACGGCATCCGCGGGATTTAAAATCAATTGCCAATCCTTGTGAAGAACATGTAAAGAGACTGTACATAGATGGATAGTTAGCAATTAATTATTGATTAGTAATTGCATTAACTCTTATGAGTTGTATTTTACTATATGATTTGCGTTGATAATCTATACTCCTTATCAGTCTTATGGCTGGCATGTCATAAATTTAATAGATTTTTACTTTCAAATGCACTAGAAATAGGTCTAGATTCCTGCATTAATGACTTCCGGTTAACAACGTTCCACGTGAAGGAAAATTAAAAGAGGTGCACGAGACTGCGATAAGAACAATAGTCCCTAATGAAGGAAATTGATAAGGTCTAAATACCGAAGGAGATAACATACCTAAACATCTCGAAATGGCAAAATCCATGGAATTAAATTTGGATGATAATTTTTTAATTTGATACGTAAAGCAAAAGTAATTGAATAGTGTAATATGATATTACTTGGGAGGCAGATGATATATATATATATATATATATATATAATTGAATTTAGATTTAAAGTACTTTAAGAGTAATACTTGAACTTGAATTGAGTATTAAAAACATTTCCTAAATTTACTTCATAATTAAATGTAGGATATCTGAATTTATATTATCAAGTTGGATACCTTTAGGTGGCGTTTGGGTACGTTACAATGCAATATGATTACAGGTAATGTGATTGCAAGTAATGTGATTGCAAGCAATGTGATTACAGGGAAAATAACATTACAGTGTTTGGTATGTAAACAAAATAATGATTAAAATGCAGGGAAGATAACATTGCAGTGTTTGGTATGTAAACAAAATAATGATTAAAATGCAGGGAAGATAACATTGCAGTGTTTGGTTTACAAGTACTTTAGTGAGAATGTAATGCTAATTGTCAAAATTACCCCTAATTATTAAAATATAAATTTAATATATTTATATTTTTTATTATTAATTTTTATATAATATCATTTCTTAAATATATTTTTAATATCATATATTTTATTTTTATTTTTATTATAATATTTTATATATTTTTTTAATATATTTATATTTTTATTATTAATTTTTATATAATATCATTTCTTAAATATATTTTTAATGTCATATATTTTATTTTTATTTATTATTATAATATTTTATATATTTTTTTAATATATTTATATTTATATTATTAATTTTTATATAATATCATATTTTAAATATATTTTTAATATCATATATTTTATTTTTATTTATTATTATAATTTTATATTCATTTCTTTAATATTTTTTTTATATTATATATTTTATTTTAATTTATTTTACCTTATTATATAAATGTTAATTTTTATATTTTATTTTATTTTAATTTTTATTATTATATTATTACATTTTAATTTTAATATTTTTATTTTAATTATAATATTATAAAATATTTTTAATAATGTAATAAAATTGAAGGATAAAATTGTTTTTAAAAACATTATAGAGTGCAATGTAATGTGATTGCATTGCAATCTTAC